CACCCGGACTGGTTTTGACGAATGTGTTTCTAAGGTAGTTGGGAAGAAATACCTTGTGCAGCTGCCTCTCTTTCAACTGAGTGTGAAGAATGAGAATAGCTCACATTTGACACATAGCTCACACTTGACATCTTGCATAAATTTTGCCCATCTTTAAATCTATGTATTATTGGAAATGTTCGCCATTTAGTGAATTCCTGCTCTTCTATTTGATAACTGAAATACAATAATTAACAATCTGCCATGTATAAGGGGAAATAAAGAAGTCCCTCATAAAAATCCTATTTGGGGCTTTAAATCCAGCTCCCCTTTTCATCTTGTTTTTGGGTATCTTAAAGGGGAGAAGTAAAACATATAATTACTCTGGATCTCAGACCACCATCTGCATTCTCAACTCACTGGTGGTTTTTAGTTTTCCCCTTTCCCTCCTTCTGTCACCATTACTTGCCAAATCTGAGATGGTATTATCCCTTTCCTCTCCCATTCAGACTCTGAGCAAGAACACAGTGCACGGATCAGTGTATGAGTGTTTCCTTACAGATCAGCAGCCTTGTTGGCTCCCATGCATGGAGAAGTTTGAATTTCCCGGTGGTTCAGTGCTGTGATTTTTCACATTTGTCTTTCAGGCAGTTTTTCATTTCAGGCCTAATGGGCCCAGTCAGGACTGCAGCTAAGGACAAGCACACCAGGAGATGAGCAGTAAGCCTGTGGCTTTTGAGAGAAAGCCTTCAAGCCTTTATTTTCCAGGGCTCTGGGTGTTGGTGAGGTTCTCTCAAAATCCACCACAAACAAGTCTGAGAGTACTGACACATCCCTAAACCTAGCTCTCTGGCACAGAAGTTGGAAGGCAGCAGCGTGCCTTTTGAATACAGGGAAACAAAACAACACAGAAATTGCTTTATATCAAGCGGAAACTCACAGGCATTAACTGAGAAATAAAAAGGTCAAGAGAACAGACTTTTGTCACGTGCATCTAGCTTGCTTCCTATTCCTGTCAGTCTTTTTTTTTTTTTTTTTTTTTTTTGCCAAGACTAGGCCAGAGTGATTGGGGAAGAAGTAAAAGCTTTCAAAAGAACTCAGATTTAGTTCTGAAAAGCTGCTCAGACAGTTCCACGCTCGAAGTTTTTTCAGTGCACAGCTCCTGGTGATTGGATAATGCATTCAGCGAGCTGCACTCCCCTCACCCCCACCTCTGAGTGCTACTAAACGTAACACGGACAAGAACACCACACACTATTTCATATGCTAGAACCACATTCAGGTTAAATGAAAGATTAAGAATAATGATGTCCAGGAGCTGCTGGAGGTGAAGCAATGGGGGACAGATCATCTGCACGCAGCATCCACGACATTATCTGACACTCACCAACAGCTATGGCTGCTATGGAAACAAAACACCACAAATGCTATAAAGTGCAACACAAGTAAAATTCTTCTTGGTTTTGTTCTTCCTTTTCTTTAAATGCATGTTAGGGGAAAGAAAGGGGAAAAAAAAAAAAAAGGCTAGCACTGGATCACAGTCTGTGAATGGAAAAAAAACATATTCCTGAACTGTAATCAGGAAACAATCTAGGGGTATCTATTCCAAAAGCTTTTCCTCTCGACAGCTGAAGGAACGGCCCCTGACACACGGTACGAGTCAGCACGCCTTCCCAGAGAAAAACGGTTGCCCGTTTGGAAACAGGGGGGAGTCTCCTTCAGCCTGCCCTCAGACAGCGACCACCCGGGGCACCGGCACTTGCCCCTCAGCCCCAACCCCGCCCTGGCAACCACCTCTCTGAGCCCCAGTGCCACAGCTCTGCGGGCTGAGGCCAGGGACACGGCTACACTGACGGCCTGGAACCAGCTGGACTCCGGCCACCCACCAGGTTAAAGCAAACCAGCCTCTAACTAGTATTCTTTCTCCTGTGCAAGCATCAGCTACGCTTTGATGCCAGTTACAAGCGAACTGCCACCACCATCCATCTGCAGAAGGCAGCCGGTTGTAATCGGTTCTGCTTCAAGCCTGTCTCGAAAATCCTGAAGTACCGTGTTTTGTATTTTCTGAGACGAGAGGGAAAAACGCGAGGCAAATAAAAGCCTGAAAGAATGCACTGAAAAGCCGTGCTTGTCCCTTCGAGACAAATCCACCAGGAACCACACTGACCAGCACAACAAAATGCGGTTTTTAAAATCTGGTGGGAGAGGTGGGGGCAAGGGGGTGAGACACAATCCCAAATCTTGCCTCGGTCGCCCTGGGCTGTGTTCAACGGCCTGACGGGGTTTTTGCAGGAGAAGCAGCAGCTTCCTTCCACTCTTCTGCTCCCCAGGACACACTGAGCATCGCTGGGGCACGCTTTGTGCCAGACCACCAGTGGGATCAGTGGAAATGGGCAAGGGCTGAGCCCCAGCGCTGCCCTTTGGGGTGCCCCTGAGACAGCAGCAACTCCAGACACACCATCAGTGTCACCAGAGGAAGCCACTGCCCGACACACTCCAGGGAGCGGAGAGGGCACGGCGGCCTCGCAGACTGAAGTCAGCCACGAGGGGGAAAAGAAAGGTAATCTGGATCAGTTCTTGATCTTTAGAAGGCAGCTACTGAACTGACGGGTTTTGCCGTCACTGAACCGTTCAGGACGAGATGGCGCTGAGGATGGCAGGCGGCGTCACCCTGACAGCGATGCTCTAAGGTAACGCGAAGCCGACCGCGAATCGTTTCACTTACGGGCTGATCTGGTCCATCCCCTCCGAGCACCCGGAAACCAAAGCCCGATTCTTGTTTTCGCAGGAAAACATCCAAATCTCTTGTGTTTGGAGCTAAGACAAAGCAACATTTCAAAACATGTAAGGAGCCATCTTTGAGTACTGAAAGACTGTACTTTTGTTGCGTGCTCTGACAGAACACAGTAACCAGAAACAGGGTAAATAATTCCAACAGACAAATCTTCAGTGATGTTCTTTCCAAAACAGAAAAAAAAAAAGTCAAGAAAAGGCTGAATAGGAAAGGATAAATTGACAAATGCCAAAGGAGAAATCCCAGCTGCACTGAGATGGTGGGCACGGATTAAATCTGTCTGCAATACAGCTCAGAGCTACCATCGATAGACTCCGAGATGGTCAGGTCTCCTTCAGCCTAGACTGTCCTTACGACCATTTCTGTGACTAACTGTTTTATCGTAAATGTGGTTGAAGCATATTGTATCTCTTCTTTTTTTTTTTTTTAAAAAAAGGAGTTCCACAGTTTCATCTGTATGAATTATGCATTTCTTGAAATGTTTTATCTACAGGAGGTTAACTCAACAGGAAAGTCACAGCTTCCTTCCTAACTGAGTATTTCCCAGCTGAAGTTGATGTACTCACGTTTGTCCTCATATATAGTCTTGGACTTCAGGTAGACTTCCGAGGGGTCTAGTCTGGGGGAGCCTGGTCGTACGGCGGCGGGAGGGAAGGGCATCGGCTGCGGGATGGGATCGCCCACAGGTTCCAAACTGCCTGAACTGTCCTGCTTGTCCTTCTGAAACAGACCCCCCCAACGCCGAGTGACATCGGGTGTAACTGGGTTCAGGTACGCGCGTGCGCGGAGACAACAAACGAGCAGAGGTGAAGTGCAGGGCAGAACGGGGGAACGGGGGAATAATACTGCGGCTCGACTGCACGCCGGGGGCTGGGGCCCGGCCCAGAGCCCTCTGCTCGGACGGGGGCTGCAGCGGGGGCCGA